TACTTCAAAATCTTTGTCATGTCTATAACAGCCTCTGAGGAACTTGGGAATTGATTTCCTTAGATTGTTTGATGTATTCTTGTGCTAGAAATATAACAAAATAGCTTCCTCTTGAACAGAATCACACACATTAGAGGCGGGAAAGGCCTTTTTTTTCCTGTTTATTCTGTGCTCCTGCCAATGCAGGGCTGTTGCCCTATTAAAACATTCAGTCGCATGGGTGAAATCACTGTAAAAGCAAACTGAAACAATCAATACAAAATAGCAAGAGAAGAAGGGTATGTGTAAAATTACATTAATGCATATGCCTTTGCTTTCAGTGGGGGTGCTGGTACCATCAGATTCTACCTCAGACATTATGTTGAGCCAGTGTCATTGACATTCAGCCAATGTCATAGCTCAACTGTCTGAAATATTCCCCAAAGTCTTTTTGTTTTAAAAACATACTGCTTCATGAATAAGAATAATTTCTCCCTTATTATTGACTGAAGGAAGTTTTTACAATTATATTTTTTGCATTTTCTGGGGGGTTGGGTGAAGGTTTAGTTGAAAGTATGTAACTTTCATGGGCGCCTTTAAATTTGAATCTCTGTAGCCAGCAATGACTCTTGCTATACAAGTGTGCTGATGTATTTTCAGTTCAGGCAAAACAGAACTTCACGTTCTTTAGGTCTCCTCTGATCTTGAGGAGGACATGGATCTTTAATAATACTAGAGACCTTGTCACAACTTGCATGTGATTAATAAACAGTGACAAAGAATGTGCTATAGTTGGCAAAAAAGTAAAACTATTAGAGATGGTGCTGGTAGCACCACATATACGTAAGCTTGACTGGCACTTCCCATTATTAAGATCCTGTTGTCACTTGCTAATAACTTTGCCAAACTAGAACTGATTGCATTGAAATCCTGTGTTGAGTGCCTGCCCTGTGTGTATGCAGGGAGGGGGTTGTTTGTTTGTTTGTTGAGGGGTCTCTCCCCTCATTTGGAATTTTTTACATTTCAGAAATACAGTGCAGTCTTTTACAAGAACAAGATTAGGGGAAATACTTTGCTTTGCCCATGTTGAAAACATTCTTAAAGCTGGTTCATTGACAAGCTTCAGCATCTCCATGCTTTGGAGCAAAGATTGCCTTTGTGTCAGGAATATTATCTCTTGATTTTCTTGTGGGGGAATAAATGCCCATATTATGGCAAGCAAAGCTTTTGAAGATGATCAATTTGCATGTGCTCAAAAGGGGCGTGATAGTATTTGACAGCTAATTTCAGCGAAGATTCCATCTGCACTGAGAATGCTACAGTACAAAGACTGCAGAAGGGCAAGCCAGACTTTTGCTGCAGTTGGTCCTAGATTGAGGACAGACCCTGGAAATAAGAGCAGGGAGACTTTCTTGCTTGTGTTTTCACTGCTGGGACCACACGGCTTAAAGAAGGAAGCACCCCGATTCAATTGCTGAGGGAGCAAGAGCAATATCTCGAGGGCAAAAGGAGCAGATTAGGACAAGAAGCCTTGTGGGGAGAGGTAAGTGGAAGGGCAGGGAACTTGCATCAGACTAGGAGCTTGGGAGAAGCTGGTACTAACTGGTCAAAGAGATTGGCAGTTAGTGGGTTTGGAGAGAGAGATCGGATGAGGAGCAGAACTGGGACTGTCTGGGCAAAGAAACTGGAAAACTTGGGGGGAAAACTGGATGGGGAAGATTGGCACTAGCTGGACAAAGACTGACACTGGGAGCCATCTGGATGAAGAAATGGTACACAGATATGGACTGGCTGTGCAAGGATGAGCTCAGGAGATGAGATCAGATGAGAATGAGTATGGGAGTACAGAGGAGAAAACACAGGATTGGGAAAGGGATGGTGCAAAAAGTGCCAAGTTTGTGGGGGTGGAGAGCTACAGGGGCAGAAAGGTCTATGACAACTAGAGCACACTCAATCTCACCTGAAACGTAACCCTCGCATTCATGAGTGTCCATTCCACTGCTGTCAAATAGCTGTGAAACCCACTGGCAAAGTCAATGTTCCTTCTTCTTAGGGTGATTGCTCATATTGATTCCAGTTAGGAGTGTGGGCATCACATGCACAGTTCAGAAGTTTTTTCCGTAGCATTTCCCGTGGGGTTGGCTGTGGAACACCCTGGAGTGGCGCATCTATGGTGCTCAGTGTATGATTCTGCTGATCTGGTGCCTCCTCAGGTCCTTCTTACCACCAGTGACAGTCGTTGGAACTGTTGTGGCTTGCTTAACGAGTTCCCCTCACTTCCTTAGTCATTCAGTTAAGTTGTAAAAAGGCAGGAGGGATGAGCTGGAGTGCCGATGAGATGCATAGTTGGGAAAGTAACTCAAATACATTCCTTATGGACTATATTTTCTAATAGGCAACTTGCCCTAAATTCTCAATCCCTGAGGAACAGTCTCAGCTCATTGATGTATTTGCTTTCACCAACCAATGCTCTATCTAACTTTTCATAAGCTGTGTACCCGAATACTTGAATGCTAATATCTAAACTGTATTGTTAAATTTAGACCTCTAAATTTGGGTTATTGTTGATTTATTTCTTTGACTTTACCCAAACATACAAAGTTTGTTTTAATCTAAACGCTATACTCAGATGTACAAATTGCTAACTCATGCATCTGACGAAGTGGGTCTTTGCCCACGAAAGCTTATGCTTCTACACTTCAGTTAGTCTATGAGGTGCCACAGGACTTGCCGCTTTTGCAGATTCAGACTAACATGGCTACCCCTCTGATACATGACAGATGTACAGACACGCTCTTCTCTTAACCTGTGTATTATGCAAATTTTTAATATTAGCTTTAATAAAATTTTAAAATTAGTTTTAGTAGTTATTAGCGTTAGCTGTTGAGAGTCAGGGGTTTCCCCTTCATTCCAATATCTTAGTCCCCTTTGGGACTCAGGCCATGCCTAAGTCCCAAAGGTTCAAACCATGCAAGTCCTGGAACAAGCCCATACCAACAGGCAACCTCCACAACTCTTGTTTAAAGTGTCTGGGCAAGGCACACCAAGCCAAAAGGTACAGGATTGTAAAAGGTTTGATCCCAGAACAAATAAGGAGCAGGATTTCAGTTTAAAGCAGCTCATTATAGAGGCAGCTGTGGAACCACAACATGCCTCAGTGCAGCAAAACCCAGCACTGAGTTAATTAGTGCACAGTGCTTCGGCATCTGCAACAGAAGCAACACCATGACTCCGAGAGCAGTCTCAGTGCTGCTACTCCCCGTGAAACGTGAGAGACGGGAAAACAAGGACCCACTCCTAAGTCCAAGGGTTCTAAAAAAAACTCAGTCTTTTTGGCAGGAAGGTCTATTCCATGCTGGGCTTGCAACTCAGGATTGCTAACTAGCACACAGTCCTGAGCAGACAGTTTCACCTCCTGGAATGCAGTGTTAAAATTGAGTGAGTAGTTACCCTGGGAGTACAGGGAGGAGCTTCGGGCGACTGGTGAGGAGGGCAAGGAAGACTCAGTTGTTCTCTGGCATAGCCATGAGGAGAGGTTAAAAGGTGCAGACCTCTAGTCAGCAGGCTCTCCAGGACCTGCCCTTTGACAGGACAGGGCTATTCTTCTTCGAGTGGCCCCGTGGGTTTTTGACAGGACAGGGCTATTTCAGAGCAAACTGACTTCAGGTTGCATAGCCTAAAAGATTCAAGGGCTACATTGTAGTCGCTTGTGGTACCCACCCCAGCTACTCAGCGGAAACATGTTAAACCCCTGCTTTTCCAGTGCTCCTACTGGCCATGTCCGAGACAGAACTATTCTATGAAGCACATTAGTAATGGCAGGCACAAGCTGTCTCAGCCCTTGTCCTCTCAGGGCCAGGTGCACATCTCCTTGGGTTCCAAGAAGGCCTTTTGATGTACTTGGTGCACTTGGGGATGTTGTACCAGAACATGGACTGGATTCTCATGCCTGTTGTCAGTCACCTGTCCCACTTCTACAGTGCAGTCCCAAATAACATTGGACCGCCGGGTCCTTCGTAGAGTAACGGTTGGCTATTCTCTCCAGTTCTGCTCCTTCCCTGCCTCCCACCCCATTCTCCCCCTCTCACTTTAGGGACCTTCCTGACAAGCAACTCCTTATCCAGTAGGTGCATATGTTCCTCGCCACAGGAGCAATGGAGGAAATTCCTCAGGAGCTAAGAGGCAAAAGGTTCCATTCCCCCTGTTTCCTAATCCCTAAAGCCAAAGGGAGTCTAAGACCCATTCTCAACCTGCGAGGCTTTAGTCACTTCATGAAGAAGCTGAAGTTTTGCATGGTTTCCTTGAATGCCATCGTTCCATCTCTGGGTCCAGGAGACTGGTATGTCATCATCAAGGGCACGTACTTTCACATATCCATATGTCCAGCACACGGAGGCTTCCTCAGGTTTGTGGAGTCAGTTCACTGTCGTCCCCTTTTCCCTGTCAGCAGCCCCCCCGAGTGTTCATCAAGTGAACGTCGGTTGTACCTCAACGACTGGCTGCTTCGGGGGGTGTTCCGCAATTGACCACTACGAGGTGGAACTGCATATTTCACTTGTGAAATCCACCTTTGACAAATCGCCTTCCTCCTCAATGAGAGTAAGTCAACCCTGATACCAACTCAAAGAACAGTGTTTATTGGGACAGTGTTGGACTTGACTTGGGTTATGGCAGTCCTGCTAGAGGCCCAG